TGTACTGAGCGATCTTGACCAACTCATTTTTGAGTCAGACGTTGCTATCTGGAATCATTTTTCCAAAGATTGAATGTACTGCGGATGGCTGCATGGAATAGGAATCTTTGTGCAAACTCTGTTCCTTAATGCACTACCCAATCATTTGGCAATAATTCTTCTTCTCTCTTCTTGCTCAATTAAAGGGGACGAACACTTTTAAGACACATCAGTAATGGCTTTTTAGGCTGTTGGTTTAATGGAATATGCAGGTGTTGACAATTTATATCAACGTTTGGACTAGAGTCTTCCTTCAAAGAATTTCTATAAATTACGCTCAGGTTTAATTAGTACTTGCTGTATTTGCTTCTGTTTCTGTAAGAAAGATTGACAAGAGAGGTTGAGATGATCAATGTATGTGGTTACTAATGCATCTAGGATCTCAGATTTAATGGTACCATTTTTACCTTCTTGTTCTTTTTGAGATTTTTAATAATTCTTATTTGTAATTTGTGTAGTTTGGATACTTTTCCATATGCTGGAACTACAACTACATGTGAATCGTTGTATATGGGAGTTCCATGTGTAACAATGGCTGGATCTGTTCATGCTCACAATGTTGGTGTTAGTCTTCTCAGCAATGTTGGTGAGTGAGTAGGTGTACTTTTGTTCTGTTTAAACTTGCATCCTTTCATTCCTGTAGCCTTGTTTGGTAGATTTAACCACCGCCAAACTAAATAGAGAGAGATTCATAAATAAAGTAGATTTTGCATGAATGAAACAAAAGGCCTTGATCCAAACTCCACCCAGAATATCAAATGTACTGTTTTCTACCTTATCAGAGCTCCCATGTTTCTTTTTACCATTTTCCCCTTTTTTCTTCCACCCTTTTCCAATATGAAATAAAGCTTTTCATTTAACATATGAAAATATCGAAATGGGGAAATGTTTTTCCATAGATCCTTCTTTTTCCCTTTGAACCTTTGACTTGAAATTTTTTAACTACTGGTTAGGTGCTGAACTAGGTGAAGGTAGAAGGAAAAGACTGAAGATAATGTTCCAAAGATAGGTAGTGAAAGGGAAAAATAGTAAGAGACGATCGATATCGTCCCCCATTGTTTTTGTAGACACCAGTAGTACTTAAGTAGAAATTGGAACACTAAAGTGGAAATATGTAGAACATCTAGTTGCTTTCTCAAATCTATCTAGACGATCTTAATCTGAATAATTGCAATCTGTCGCCATAAATTAATACTCGACATTTTGCACATTTCTAAGCAGGTTTAGGACACCTGGTTGCTAAAAATGAGGAGGAATATGTAAAATTGGCATTGCAGCTAGCATCTGATGTAACTGCACTTTCTAACTTAAGAATGAGTCTTCGGAATCTTATGTCAAAGTCTCCCGTTTGTGATGGGCCAAATTTCATCCTTCATCTGGAGTCTACATATCGTAAAATGTGGCAGAGATACTGTGAAGGAGATGTGCCATCATTGAGGCGCATAGAAATCCTACAACAGCAAGAAGCTACGGAAGAGCTAATTACAGCAACGGAATCGAACATTCCTGCCTCGAAGGAGAGCCCAACATCTATCAAATCCAATGGACATTGTCCTGTTTCCTCGGCCGTCATCGACGATTCCCCCCTTGGAGAAAATGGAGATCTTTTGCATCCGACCAAAAAACCAGGCAAGCTCAATTGAAACATGAATTTGATAGTCTATTATGGAGTTCTTTTGAAAACTTTACAGGAGATAGACGAAGCAGTGTTTGTTTTTGCCCGCATCGACGAAGTATTGGTCAAGATTTCCAGCAGCTCTTAAGTCGCAACTGATTGATATCTTCGAGTTTGGCCTGGAGAAAAATAAAGTTTTGGAAACTTACTGCTACTGCTAGAGATAGTTGTACTGCATTTTTTTTCTTTCCGAATCGTAGAAAATTAGGAGTCATCTGTATATCGTAGAGCTTTTACTTTTCTTCTGCTATCAAATGGCTTGTCTTAGGCAGTGTCTGGTTGGGAGCCGTCTAGAGTGTCTTATTATAACCCCCTTGTGCTGTTATGGGAGATGCCTTTCCCATGGAAGTAAGTTTATGAGATATTTAGGTGCAAGATTCTTTAGAATTGTAGATATGATTGGCTTTGGTGGTTGGAAACTCTTTTATGGGAATGTTTGCGTCTGAAGTGATTATTTGCAGCGATTAGTAGAATTGCTTGAGCTTGTCCATGATTAGAGCTTACTTTAATAAGCTGATTGGTAATTAACATTGATTTCTTTTGTTTGTTTGACGCTGGAGGTTTAAATTTTCGCATCTTATTTATTGTATTGAATAAAAGAAAAATCTTATGAAAAGGACACTTTTAGATTATATGAAAGAACATTTGTATATACAGAAAGAAAATTTTATAAGGAAAAAGACAGTATTATTATTCTACCTGTTGAAGCTGGTTTCAAAACAGTCCTAAATTTTTTTTTTTTTCTACAATTATTTTAAAATAAATTTCAAGAATATAAAACTTTTAAAATTTGAGAGGAAAATTGATATCAATTCTATAGTTCTAGAATATTCTTATTGATATCAACTATATTGTTCGAGAGTATTATTTATAATTTAAAAAATTAGAACGATGACATGCATAAATCGAAAAATGGTATAGAGCCAAAAAATAATGGTATAGAACTAGGTATGCCAACGAGACATCTATGGATTGTAAGATATAACATCGACTTCGAAATATGAGATCTTAGAATGGATTAGCTGCTTAGCTGCTTCCCCAACTCATCTTCCCCATAATGCAACACCTTCTCCATCTCTCAGTGTTATTGATGAAACCCAAATGGAGAAGGTTTAAACAACAACTCCCCTTCACTTTATCTGCTCCAACAACCGATCAAACCCAATTTCCTCTCTTTATTTAGCTCCCAACTCTCTTCAACATTCCCATCACTCACAATTTGCTCCCATTCTTCTCCATTAAGAACAGCGAATCCTCGCAATTTTCCTTCTCCGATCACCCAAAAATGAAGAACGCCGAATCCTCTGCCATCAATGTTGCCTCCGAGACCACCAACAGCGGCCCAATTGGAAAGAAGAAGAGCACGACGCCGTTGCTAGCGGCGGAGGTGCCAATCCGGCCAGACAGGGGAACCCACCGGATGAAACGTGGGCTTGCAATTTTCGACATCGTTCTGAGAATCGGCGCCCTTTCCTCGGCGCTGGCGGCGGCAGCCACCATGGGAACCAGTGGGCAAACGTTGCCGTTTTTCACTCAGTTCTTCCAGTTCGAGGCTAGCTACGATGATTTGCCCACTTTCCAGTTGGGTGGTTTTCATTTTTAAGAAAAAATACTCTTCTTACTGCGATTGAATTACTTAAACAAATAATTGATTTGCAGGTTTTTTGTGATCGTAATGGGAATCGTTGCGGGATATGTGGTTCTGTCAATTCCATTCTCAATTGTTTGCATTATTCGTCCCCATGCTGCTGGGCCTCGCCTTCTCCTCTTGATTTTGGACTCTGTAAGCATTCACATAAAACTCCATAGTTAGAAATCGTTCACTTTAATGCTTTGGACTTTCTCAAAATACCTCATACAATCTCAAATAACTGTTAGTAACCATGACTTTATCGATAATAGCATAATATTGTCAATTGTGAACCTAAGTTTTTTGCATTGTGCTTCTCATTCTCCAAATTAATAATTTCATCGTGCATGTTGTGGTTTGCAGGTGGCTTTGGCATTGAGCACAGCGGCAGCAGGAGCGGCAGCGGCAGTGGTGGCGCTTGCACACAGTGGGAACTCAAGCACAAACTGGCTGGCAGTGTGCAACCAATTTGGGGACTTCTGCCAACAAGCGAGTGGGGCTGTGGTGGGCTCTTTTGCTGCTGTTTTGCTCTTCCTTCTACTCATCTTGTTCTCTGCCTTGTCCCTCAAGAATGCCCATTGATATCATTTCATTCTTCTTCTTCTTCTTCTTCTTCTTCTTCTTCTTCTTTGTGTTTCCATTTATGCATCCATTTGGGTTGTGACCTTTTCTTGTCTGTGGAATATGGGGTTGAAGAAATTATTCATCTGTTACTTTTTTTTTTCTTTTTCTTACATGTTTGTTGGGTTTTATTCGTGTAAAATTTGTTCTATATGAATTAAAAAGTTGTGATATAATTCTATATTTGTTGAACAAAAAAAGGTTATTTGTACTCTCCACTTGAATTTATTGGTCTTGATTTTGTTTGTTTGCCTCTTCTAATCATTAAAAAGAGACGTGGTCGTATTTATAGTACATATCTTAAAACATATTTACATTTTAAAAAATATAAAATACTATTTCAAAAATTAATTATTTTTTTTAATTTTAAAATTTTGCCTTTGGATAGTGTTTATAAATTTATTGCTTAATTTTGAAAAACATAAAACAAAAAATTAATAATTATTAAAGTACTCGGAATAGAAAAATTATAATGTTGACATTATTAATTTCATTAAATTGGATTTTGAAAAAAAAAATTAATAACTAGTCTCGTTTTAGTAAAGGGTGAAAATTGGGTTATTTTTTCTAAAAAAGAAAAAAATGGGGGAAAATAATGAAAGGAAAATTAGAGTATTAACTATAAAATTTATATTTAATAATTTTGTAAATTTGAAAAAAAAGTATATTTTTTGTAAATATATTAAATGTGTTATAACAAAATTTGGTCCATTTAATTTTAAACCTATTAATCAATTAAAAAAATATAAATAAATAGAAGTCTAAGGATTAAAAAGAGAAATTTCTTTACAAAATATCTAAATATTTTATTTTTTAAAAATTTTAGAGTGTAATTAATTTTTAAAATTTTAATTGGGTAGGTAACAAAATTTTAAATTGTTAATTTTCACATGATTTAAAATTGATTAATATATTAAATTTAAATTTAATTTTTTTGGGTGTAATATAGATTACATCATTTTTTTAGTTACAAATTGAAAAATTAAATTTATAATTTTTAAAAATGACCAAATATACACAAACATTACGAATAAACTCGTAATGCGGAGAACTGCAAATTGAGAGATTCACGATCAATTCAGCCGCCCACTTTCCATCTTCGCCAGATTAGTGTCTCGTTTCGTTGCCTCCAAGCTGGTCTGGTCTCTCCCTAACCGCTGTCACTTTCCCGGGAAAAAAACGACAGGGCAGAGAGTTTCAGGAGCGGATAAATCCAAGGGCTTTAGATAACGAAGTTCTCCGTCGGTGGTAGAAGATGACTCAATCCGGAAAACTGATGCCGAATCTCGATCAGCAGAGCACCAAAATGCTTAATCTTACTGTGCTGCAGAGAATAGATCCTTTCATTGAAGAGATTTTAATCACCGCAGCCCATGTCACATTCTACGAGTTCAATATCGAGACCAATCAATGGGTTAGTCTTAAAACTTGCTATTTTGTTGTCCTTCAGATTTTATTCACACCGCGAATGTTGGGAGGTGGAATTTAAGATCTTATGATTCTTATTCCTTATTGATCTGTTGGACGAATGAATTCATTCCACGAAATTGTTTTTACGATTTCCTATCCTGCGATATATATCCCAAGCTAATGTTAAATGGTTTATCTGGCTGTTTTCTAATATTCTTATTTTTCTTAATCTTGTTTTTGTATGGTTGCAGAGTCGCAAGGATGTAGAAGGATCTCTTTTCGTAGTGAAAAGGTTTTCCATCTCTCTCTTTAAACTTAAATTTCGGGCAATTCTTTGTTTCGTAGTTGTTTGGCAGAGATTTTTTGTTTCTGAATTCCCTGATGTTAATACTTGTCTTCTTGTCTCAAGAAATGCTCAACCTCGGTTCCAATTCATTGTGATGAATCGACGCAACACGGGTTAGTAATGTCATTCTTGTTAACTTGAAGGAGTGCTATGCTTTCTCAATTAGAGGAAAAAAAAAAAAAAAAACTTCTCAATATAGTAATTATCCTTCAGAGCCAATTGCTAAACATCGTGAATTTCTAAAACTCTTTTTACGTCGTTCTACTGATTCCAAATCATATCCAATCTTTGTGCTAGCCACAAATAACTTACAGCAGATTTTAAGATCAGCACATTTATTAACATGGGAATTGAGAATGGTCAAAGCTCGAGTTTATATCAATTTTCCAATCTTTTCATTGTAGTGAAAATTGTTGGTTGTATTTGTGTAAACATGCAACTTGAAATTTTAATACCCAAGCTAATAAGTGAAATCCGTATCTTGGATGTTGTAAACTGCATTATCTATTTTGTTCTCAACAAGATTTGAACATCTAATTTTGTTGAAATTGCATACTATCAATATAGATAGCATTGAATTTAGCTCTTGTATGCTCATTCCTTAGCTTTTGATGTATCTATTTGTTTTATCTAGATAATCTAGTGGAGAATCTACTTGGGGATTTTGAGTATGAAGTGCAAGCTCCTTATTTGTTGTACCGGAATGCTGCTCAAGAAGTTAATGGCATCTGGTTTTACAACCCACGGGAGTGCGAGGATGTTGCAAATCTCTTCAGTAGGTATAATACCCTTTTTATTTGTTGATATCTTGTTAGTCAGACGATTCAGACCCTTTTTATTGTCATTAAACTACCATATGAAGTTTGGGTTTTGTCAAAATTTTATCAATTAGACCACTGTTATGATCTTATTTTTTGGAGGAAATGAAACACTCCGTGAAAAGGAAAGGATCATGTGAAAGAAAAGTCAGGGAGATCAGGTAGCCCCCCACCAGAAAGAGAAATATCAGAAAATACTCCTATCTAAGTTAATTAAGTGGGTGGTGTAGTTACATGAAGCTTTGAGTTAAGCACTCCAACTAAAGGTTTCGTACTGTACATTGTATAATATCCAAAAAGATTATATAAGTCCCTATATCTGCCGTTGGACAACATATTGTTTCTTTTGGTTCAAATAGAGCACATGCACAGGAGGGGTCTTCCAGCATTTCTCTACACTGCCTTTGCCATGAAGCTAATGAATAGAGAGGACCTCCAGAAACAAAAAACTAGTATCAGCCCAACTTCCACTAGCTAAGTTGCTATGAATAAAATAGTGGTAGACCATTTCTCAACTTTACCTACAATTCACACAAATTTGGGGCAAGTTAGCTAGAGAAGGATTTTCCTTTTGCAATTAGTCTTGGTATTTAGACCTCTATCTTAATTGGTGCCCATTGGAAAATTTTCTCCTTTTGCATATTTTCATGTTCAATTATTACTTTGCAAGATATGGTGTTATTGCTAATATGTAGGAGGCTGGGTCGTTGATCATAACCAATGTTTTAGCTCTGAATTTAAAATTCTCTTTACAAAAGTTGACAGCCTCTTCTTCCTAAATTTGACTTTCAGCTTAGCCTCTTCTTCCCTCATAAAATCATTGAAGTTATTTATTTGATGTAGGAATTATTAATACTCTCACTGGGAGTGACTTAAATTGGATAGGTTGGCTATTAGTTCACTGTGTTCGATAGGTGGGTGACTATCACTTTTTGGGCATTTCTTGGTTGCAAGCTGTAAACAATTGTTCCTCCTTCTAGCCCTTGGTTTTTAGGAAGAGGCATAACCTGTCTTTCCTAAAAGGAGAAAGAGAACGACTCTGATTCGTTGAAGTTTTTAAAACATGTTGCCTTTATTCAACATTTCTTTAAGGATAGATTGGTTGATATATAGCAAGTGATTTTGTAGTGGACGAGGGTGGATGGGTGGACCTAGTTCATTGGACTATGGTGTCTATGGGCCAAGGGAACTTAGAGGAAAAATAATTATGGTGTTTGTAGGCCGATGGGTTAAGAGGTTTCCCAATACAATTATCACTGGTAAAGTCGATCTTCTCTTTGTGCTATCTCCCTTTGCCCATTTCTCGAGGGAAGCTTCAAGAAATTTATTGTTGTTGTTGGCTAAGCTAGAGGTACATTTTCTCAATTTAAGTTGTAAGGTCCTAGGGTCTTACAGATCCAGAGTCACATGGCCAAATGTAGCGGTCCTAATTGTGTGAGTGGTTTGGAAAGAGAGAAGTAGGACTGTACGAGGAATAGTGTAGGGATGCAGGGTATATGTGTTCACTGTTCAGATATGTTGTGGGGAATTTATCCCCCCACCCACCCACATTCTTTACCCCCTATTAATCATATTGTTATTTTTTTCTTTTGGTTGGGGGGGGGGGGAGAGAAAAATGTGTTTTGTGGTTTCTTTGCATACTTTCTTCATCAAAGCAAGATCTTTGTTCCCCATGGCTCATAGCACTCACCTCCATTCGTCATGGTTAGGCTTGGGCATCAAGTCCTTTCACCTTTTATATGAATTTTTTCTTGTAAAAATACTATAACCTTGACCTTCATTGTACTGTCAAAGAAATTTTACATTGATTTTTTATGGGTTTCTTACATGAGGCGTACTTGTGCATTTTATTTTGCAGAATACTTAATGCTTTCTCGAAGGTTCCTTTAAAGTCCAAAGTTTCTTCAAGCAAGGGGTAACAATGATGTTATTATAATAAATAATTTGAAGCATTTTAGTTTCTACATTTGTACAGTGATGGCCTTTGGCAACATTGTTGTGTACGAATGTCATTTGCTTGTTATATGAGTCATTGAATCTTGTTTGATGGAAGCCACAACATGTTTCCCATAAAAATAAAAATGACCATATCACTTGACCTGCCTATTTGATTGAATTATTGGAAAGCATATGTATTTTCCATAATAAAACTTGACCTTCATTAAGATAAATGAAAGATTGTAAGAGAGTCATATTAAAAAAAAAAAAAAAAAAAAAAAAAAAAAAAAAAAAAAAAA